CCCCCCGGTCCCCCCATGTCAAAAAAAGCCCGGTCTAGGTAGGGTTAATGCGTAAGTCACAACGCTATAGAACCGTCGATATTCGTGACTGTTATGTTTCGTTTATCCCTTCTAATCAACGTACACGCGAGCACACAGAAACACACACACATTGACGCGCACACACACATACACATACACGCGCGCGTGCACACATATACACAAACACACAAATACACAAACATAAAAGCATACGCACACAGACATACACAAACACACACATATACGCACACACACATAGTCACACATACACACACACACACACATATACACGCACACCCACACACAAACACGCACACACACACGCACACACACACACACATACACGCATACACGCACACACACACGCACACACATACACACACACACATACATACACACACACACACACACAAACACACACACACACACACAAACTCATTGTGTAAATACGACATCTTGAGTCACTCATTTTATATAGTACAAAACTAATCTCCAAACAGAGGTTTGGGAGACAGACGCTATGTGCAGTACTTACAGGTTCTTTCGGAAATTTAAATAAGTCCTTTCGACCAGCACAGCAGTCGACCACTGCTTAACGACACGTCCACTATATGTCGGGTGAGCGACAACAGCTTCTATATAAATAGTTAGTTCGTCGGTTTTTTGTTCTTTGATTTTAGTTTTTCTTATTTTGTTTCATCTTATAATATATCAGCGCAAAACTTTCAAAACGTTCGGTCTAGACTAGTTATGACAAAACTGGCAAAATACCAACATGGTCCAGATGGTAAAAGAAAAACTGCCTTCACATCAAAAGGCTTGAGGAGTCAGCATTACTTTGTCAGCCCCCAACCCATGTGTCATTTGAGACTCCAGATAAAGGTAAAATTTATGTGTGAACCTCTGACAATGAAATTGACGTTCGATCATTTCCCATAAACGACACTCAGTATCTGCTTGGGACAAAGGCAGACAATATTGGCGAGTCGTTCCAACAGCTAGTCAATAGGGGTGTTCACAATTTTTTTTCATGTGGTATTGTAAATTTAAGATAAATGAAATCTGAAAGACTGTCTTTATAAGAGTCAGAAACTCCAAACCTTTTTTTTAAATAACTCTTTAAACAAAAGTAGACATTTGCGGTACAACCACCAAATCAGGACTTCCACCTCTGGAAATATTATGGGTAACCACATATTAGAGTGACTTGTATTGTCTATCACGCCACAGGTCATTCTACATTTGCTCGGGTTGACGAAAGCTCGTCCTAAGAACTAGTCCAGGGGTACGTGTTTTCATTTGTGTATTTTTCTTTACTAAATAAATTTAACCGTTGTGTTGTTGCTACTAGCTACCACATAATGCGCTTATCATAACGTGCGTTTTGCTAAAACATTGGATAGTGAAAACCTTGCGCAAGATCAGAACTTTGAATCTAAATTTGTCAGTCCTGGCTAATGAAGAATGGATTAGAGGGCATTTTCTTTTTTGAATTTCCATCGTATGTTTATTTTCTGGCAGAATCTTTGCGTATTCTGTTATCTTAATGTTACGATTGCACTGGTGCCCTGATGGTGGTCAAAATTGACACTGCCCTTACGTTGAAAAGTACTAAGTACACTGACCTAGTACACTGACCCAGAGGCGTGGAGCTCAGATTTCTTGCGTTGAAAAGTACTAAGTACACTGACCTAGTACACTGACCCAGAGGCGTGGAGCTCAGATTTCTCAAAGCTTCTCACAGCTACAGGTCCAAGCACAAAATTAAAAAAAAAACACACCACTTAAACAATCCAGCCTGGCCTCTTTTAGCAATTTTAACCCTGGAATTATGAAGTATTATAAACAAATGTAGCCTCAGTAATAGACACTGAAAAGGAATCAGGTCACTACGTTTGGTCACACAACGTTATGCATGAGCGTACGGTTTAATTATGGTATCCAAACTGGTCCTACTGCATTTCGAGGCTTCAGATTAGGCTGAAATGGTGTGAAGGCTTTATATGGGCTTATTCCTATCTGACTACAATACAGAATAAAAAAGGAACTTTATGAAGTGTTTGTTGCAATTATATGCACTAGATCGTGTGTGATTCAATTTAACCACAGCCCATTATCAGGATGTCTCAATGCAAATTCTGTAAATTAACAATACTCAGTCAGTTGTCTGTGGTTAACAATCTCCCGCTGCCTTTCGGCTAAATTCACAGTGCTTCAACCTCTAACTTGTACATTTAGACCATGATAAAGACATCTTATACGTTGGAATCATGCGTGAATTCTGACCAAATTCAAACATTGACAAGGGACCCCTGAACGTCACCAGGATCAGCTGATGACCGCATGAAACCCATATCTTCTTTAGCCAGACAACAAAAATGTCTTTTTTGTCTCAACACTATAAAAATACTACAACCCTTACCTATAACATTCAGCTCCAAAACAACAAAATTTTCCGACAAAACTTCTTCACGTTTGATTTGAGCTTGCCATCTGTATAAAACTGGGCCCTCTGCGTGAGCGCCTAGTACTGACCTGCGGTGCTTTTCAGTTCAAGATTAACAGGTTTTAATCATTTCACAAAACCGGAGAGGGTTTGTAAACTATCATCCCAAGTGAAAAAAGATAACTGACCAGGAATGGTCCCCTGGGAATAGAATTTGGCAACAGGTGTCCACGATATCTAGGACACTGGTCTGGGGCTATTGGTGAGGCCCATGGCCATAAGCAAGAAGTAACAAAACAGGGGAAAAGTTAAAAGTTGTTCATTCTGGCATAAGGAAACTACCTTTCCTCCCATCAAGTCCCCTAAAGTTGAATGTAGGGTTAGCCTTTTAAGCATTTTAAGGAGAGCATACTTCAAATGTCTATAAAGGATACAAAATATAACAATAACGGCTAAAAACACTGAAATCTAAGAATAACTTAGGAAATCTGAGTCGAGTGAGTCGGCAGAAGCTTAAGCCTGCTCCTTACCCAAATAGACTAAAACTTGGCCCTCTGCGCCTGCGCCTTACATTGACCTTTGCCCGGGTGTGTGGGGCTATTGCTATGGGAGTGTTCGATTGCCCCCCTCCCCACTAGTCTGTCGGGATGGCCGCTAGAAGCGTTTTTTTTTCAGGCTTTTCTGTAACGTTGAACGGACGGCCTTTGGCTTTCTTGATGATATGGACTAGTCTAACTGTTACTACAGCTGAAAACTTCATCAGTGGAACATGGGACGTCTAGATGGAAAAATAGCGCTGTGTACGGCGTCAGCACAGGGGATAGGACTGGCTACTGTACTGGAAAGTCTTCCCCGGAAAGTTTCGAAGTCTCGTGGTCGTTTGGATAAATTTGATACTAGGACAGTTACTCACAGTCTCCTTTTCCATTTGCATACTTTCTGGGACTGCCATTTTTGGCGACGCCTAAGGGCATGTTGACAATAACGTAAAAGTGCCACGCCCCTGAGGACGCTGGGTAAAAACCAGGGGCCATGTAGTAGGTTTTTTCACAGTGTAAAGTACTTTTAAGGTCGTATTTTCAAGTCATTATTCATAATTTCATTCATGATGAAGTTTTCAAAGTAATTGTCGTACAGCTTCCATATTTTTAATAGCTTTTTAAAGCTTTATATAATTCTTTATTTTTGGCCAACGTTAGAACATACATTAGTAAAAAGATTGCAGTAAAGCAATGTAATTAAGGGTACTAAGGGTTACGTATTTTACTAGTAATGGTTGGAATAGGTATGAAAGAAACCAAATAAGTTGTAAAGATTGAAACTCACAGTTTCCAAGTCCTTTGGATCAGTCCAAAGTCCCCTTGCCATACTCTTCAAGCAGAGGATGGGTTTGGGGTTATTTTAGCGTGTTTTTAGGCTTTTTTATCAGGGTTTCTCTTTTGCACTGCACTTCATTTTTTTCACCCAACCCAACCTCTCCCTAACCCTAACCCATCCACTACAGTAAAATGGATTTCCTCAAATGAGAATTTGATGGTTCCCGGGGAGGAACACTGTCACGTTTATTGAATAGGTTTGCCCCGCTCCGGGGTGAGTGCCGGCAGAGGTTGGGTTGGGTGAAAAAAAATTACAGTGCAAAAGAGAAACCCCGAAAGCCTAAAACCCGCTAAAATAACCCCAAACCCAAACCTTTTCTTGGAGAGGTTTGGGAGCTTGGACACTTGTAATGTACTCAGTGGCATTGTTCTTTCTTTCTTTAGGCATTTGTCAAGGAGGGAGCCAGAGTCATTGCTACAGACATCAACATCAGTAAACTGGAGCAGAAGGTTAAAGATGTGCCAGGTAAGACAATTTCTACCAGTAAATAAAAACAAAGTGAGTGAATGAGTGAGTGGGTGGGTGGGTGAGATGAATGAATGAATGAATGGCTGAATGACAGTCTGGCAGAATGTCTCACAGAAATCACTAAAGAGGTTTAATTATCTCATAATAAAGTTACGGACAAGACTAGTCATTCTAAAGGCTTCTAGCAAAAAAATATATGGTGTATTCAGTACTTCAAATATATTTCAAAGAGGGTGGCAGTTCATTCATGTCTAGTCTGACCACACTAGCTATAGGAACAGGGGTGTTTGGCTATTAAAGAGGTTGATTAGTCGCTTCGAAGGAAGAATTTGAAAGATTCAGCGGACGGACTCCTCCGCCTGATTATTCACCTTTTCGCCAAATTCTACAATCCATACCCCCATAGAAAGGCCCAGTGGAGGTTCCTACATGGTGCTGAAGCCATGATTTACATGATTACGTTAGACATTCTGTTCCTCGACCCAGGAATCGAGGCCAAGATGCTGAATGTGGCAGACAAGGACCAGGTCACTTCACTAGTGGACCAATTAGACCGTGTGGACATCCTCTTTAACTGTGCAGGGTAAAACTTCATGATTTTTCATCTGGCGTTTGTTCAGAAATATTCCTATTCATTTCTAGTGCCCCATATGTTTGATATAGAGTCTTGCATGTTCTGCTACTAGCAGTATATATATATATGTTGGTGATACAAATCATATTATTCATCCCTTGTGCACCACGTTTGATGAAGTATTACAAGCCCTATTAAAGTATTATAACTGTTTCTAGAATAGTTCCCAATGGCACGATTCTGGACTGCGAGGAGGCTGACTGGGACCAGACCATGAATATCAACCTGAAGAGCATGTACTTCCTGTGTCGTGCTGTCCTCCCGAAGGTCAGTACTCCTGAGAGCCTGTTCTTCCTGTGACGAGCTGCCCTCTTAAAGGTCAGTACTGGCGAGCCTGTACTTCCTGTGACGAGCTGTCCTCCCAAAGGTCAGTACTCCTGGTGAGCCTGTACTTCCTGTGACGAGCTGTCCTCTCAAGGTCAGTACTCCTGGCGAGCCTGTACTTCCTGTGACGAGCTGTTCCCCCAAAGGTCAGTACTCCTGGTTAGCCTGTACTTCCTGTGACGAGCTGTCATCCCAAATGTCAGTACTCCTGGTTAGCCTGTACTTCCTGTGACGAGCTGTCCTCTCAAAGGTCAGTACTGGCGAGCCTGTACTTCTTGTGATGAGCTGTCATCCCAAAGGTCAGTACTCTTGGTGAGCCTTTACTTCCTGTTTTGAGCTGTTCTGTTTTGAGCTGTCCTCTTAAAGGTCAGTACTCCTGGCGACCATGTAGTTTCTGTGGCACAGGCGTTACACTATTAGCTCACTAAATTCACCTTTACTAAATTAAAAATAGATAGTAAACTTAAGAGATCTCCATTACCTTAATTTTTTTTTTTACCTTTGCTACTTTTACTACCTTACATTGTGCTCTAGGGTGGCGGACTCTTTCTGTGTCAGCGCTAAGTTACCAGAAACACAGGCAGATATTGATCAAGTAAATCATGACTTATTATTATTATTATCATCATCATCATCATTATCATTATTAATGACAAATTGTTACATTTCAACAATGGTAAGTATCTGGAATTTCTCTACCTGGGGTGTTTGAAAGTAAAGTGAAGGTGAACAAAATAAAACAAGACTTCTAAAATAAGGACCTCGTTTGCATTATTTATTAGGAAATGCTTCAACGACATTCTTTGTTAAAATAAGATAAATGTCTATTGTTGGATTATATGATTGACTGATATGATTCATGCAATGAGGATCCTATTTTCATAATCAGGGGGAATAAGCTATAATTGTTCAGTCATAAAAATGAACATCATGTTGCGAAGGTACGAGATCGTGGAACTTTATTTCTTCTTTAATCTAAATAAAACGTTTAAATGAATTTGCATTGCAGATGGTAGCACAAGGTTCTGGATCTATCGTAAACATGTCTTCCAGTGTCTCAAATGTTAAAGGTGGGCAGTATACTGTAATTTCTTTTTTAATGCAATATTTTTTTCAACTTACGAAGTATTTTAATGCTACCACCAACACAGAGGGCAATAAAATACTCACTGCCACCTGAGTAAAGTTTTGTAAAGTAAATTTCCCAACGGCAAAAGATTGGTGACACGGCAGGGTTCGAACAGAGCACATCTTGGTTCCGAGAGGAACGTTCAACCAGCACGATCTCAGTACTTCATTATGACATTCTCATTTCTTCATGACATTCAAGTAGTTGTGTTCAAGTAGTTTGTGTTTTCACACAAATTATAAGACCCCATATCCAACAGAAGGGTGTTAACATGACTGTTTTTTGCAGGTGCCCCGATGAGGTTTGTGTATTCTGTCAGTAAGGGAGGAGTCAGCGGACTCACCAAGGCCATCGCTGCAGACTTTGTCTCCAAGGGGATTCGCTGTAACTGTATCTGTCCAGGTACGAAATTTAGAACTTCTTAGACAGATGTCACCGAGGCAGTGAACTTTACTGTAAGATAGTCTACAAGAAACTTTCTACAGTATGTACTTTTTGCAAAAGCATAAACAATATTTTGGCTTGTACCAGACATTGTGTATACCTAATTATTGAAATTTCCCCATGGTTGGGCATAATGCATGTAACAAACACTTGTAACTTTGAACTAACATTTTTTATTCTTTTATGTTAGGTTTTTCATATTATTACATCGCCGAAGTACTAGGCTTGGAGTGGTTTTAGATCTTTTGCCTACAGTATGTTTTTTTTAGTAATTTTAGATTCGTAGCTGTTTTCACAGCTTCAGTCAATGCTTTGTTTTTCACTATGTTCTATTGACAGCAAGTGTTCATCTGTGCAATAAACTGAAACTAAACTGAAACTAAACTGAAACGTCGAACTACATTTTCACCGTACTGTATCTTACACAGCTGCAGTAGAAACACCATCACTGCAGGAGAGAATTAATGCCTCCCCTGATCCTGTCAAGGTGAGATATTTTGATTGCATTTGGTACACTCTAGCCTTAGCATATTGCGACACTTGCGATACTGGCAACATCGGGAATGATGTGTACAGAGAATTCCCGACAGAGAAGTCCCGCTGTAACAATATAATATATAATATAACAAATAACATAATTTTTAGATAATTGTCACCTTCAAACGTTTTATTTATGTATGTAAAGGCATAAATTACCCTATTTCAGTTATAGAATTGGCGATGAAATTATTATTCATTACTTCTATACTTTGGTTGAAAGAAATTACTGTGAAGTCTTACCCTGTAGAACTCTGGATGCCATTGACACTAGTGCAAGAGTCAACACAATTACTTGTTGTTAGGCTTGAGTGTTGTTGGTTACGTTGTGTTTCCTGTTTCAGTCCTGAAATCTTTTCTTTTTAGCTTTTAGGGTTTGCGGATATTTAGTGTTCCGGGGTTTACAATACAGTTTAAAAAGGGAAACCTGGAAGTCAGCAAACTTATACTTTCAACGTGAATGTTGAAAAACAATTGTACAACGTTTCATCACTCAGGTGTCAGAACAAAAGTCAACCCTACAAAAAAAGGCCAGTGCCGCCTTTTTTCTAGGGCTGTTCGGAAAACTGGAAACACAACATAACTTAACATTTTTGCTAGGCCTTATAGTTGTTTATATTTTCCAGGCTCGAGCAGCCTTCGTGCAGAAGGTTGGCCGTATTGGGAAGCCTGAGGAGATCGCAGCCCTGGCCGTGTACCTCGCATCAGATGAGGTAAGGATACTGTCAGGTGTAACAATGTTCTAATATTTAGGCCATGTTAATTTGATTATATGGATGACATCCGCGCGCATGAATTTTCGGCCGTTTCCAAGAAAAGTTTTTAACCATACTGTAAATTGTACAAAACAGTTGCAAAATAAGCAAATATATACCATTGGAAAACAATACCAATGTCGTAGAATGCCAAAATCAAACGGAAAAGACGAAAATTTTAAGAAATGGATTTTAAGACTAGATTATTCACCAGACAATACTCATTTGTTCAACCTTCAAAACCACGTAGATTTCACAATGAAAGACAATGAGGAAGGCATTCGTCGTGTTATCATGAAGGAAAAGTTAGATACCGGTAAAATCGCTCGTCTTCCCATAAATATCCAACATCGTTTTCTGTGTTGTTTTTTTTTTCAGTCTGGATACACCACAGGCCAGGAACTTGTGATCGACGGAGGCTGGGGCCTAGCCTAATAAACAAGCAGACCCAGATGTACCTGAACCACTAAATGTTGTTGTTGGATAGCCCTAATGTTGTATTACCTCTAGAAGACTTGAATGAATAAATTCATACCTTCGCCAAATGATGTTAACCTTTATGACTGACAAGTTATAGATTATTCCTCCTAGTAATACGATCATTTCCATGAATAATTCTATCAGTTGATCCACCAAAAGGCAGTCTTATCTTAACAAAGAATTCAAGCATTTCCTCATAAAATATTCAAACGAGGTCCTTATTTGAATAAGTTATGTTTAATGATGTTCACCTTCATTTAACTTCCAAATATACTGCAATTCCTGGCAGTTACCATTCTTACAACATTTTCTCATTATTTATGCAAATTACGTCTTAATTTACATGATAAATATTTGCCTGTGTTTCTCTTGATCTCAATTACATATGTGACAAGCTTGAATAGTCCTATCATGTATTCCTCTCACCTCACCTCATGTATTGCAACGCAGAATAAACCTCTTGGTTGTGCGAGAAGAGTCTCTTTTTCAATAACGTACCAACCTAATGAAAGTATTCTTGTATGTAACACTCGAACGACTTGCTGGAAAATAATAGATTTGGCAAAACAGTCGTAATTTGTTCTTGAGCAAAATACAATGGTCAAACACAAAAGACACCATTTGTTGTAGAGATCACTACTTCATAAACACAGAACATCCGGAAAAGATTCATCCACAAATTACTCTACCAGACACCTATGCTTAGGCTGCTATAAGATAGTCAGAAATAGTCAGAAAGTCAAGTAGAAATTGTGGCTGATCAATTTGGGTTCCTAAGGTGAGAAGCTACAGTGTTTATTAACTTTAAATCCGCTAGGGGTCGCGCCTAGATGTTTCACCATCTTCTATATTATACTGTACCCTTAATACTACAGTCTACTGATGAAATGAAACACTCTTTGCTAACACCTATATGTTATAGAATATTATAAATGCAAATAAGTGAAAATGAGACAATTTCATATAAACTTATGAGAAAACGTACTAAAACTGCCAATATCCAGCAAATGTCTTGGCAGGGAAATTTCAGCACTAAATGTTTTCTCGACCACTCACATTGTTAATCTTGATGTCAGATTTACAAATGTAGGACAACTAATCAATGTGTCTTACAAACTTTCCAATAAACTAGAAAAATAACATTTTCAACTTTAGTTCGCATATTGTCTGCTCTGTTAATTCTTAGTCAAACACATTAATATATATATATATATATATATATATATATATATATATATATATATATATAGTAT